CTAAACACATATTATAATATGAGTAAAGTTTGTTTACATGTATACATCGTATACATCTGGGTATACTAATGGGCATGGGTATGGTAATAATCTGGGTATGCTAATGCTAGGGTGGCTGATTTTCGATAGTTTTGTATTGTACAGTCAAAACGATGACAGATACAAAAAATCTGATATCGATGTCACGTCCTCTTCTTTTGAGTTTACTTCGCTGGTACCAAAAGATTTGGGCTAACTTGATTAGTTTTAGATATACAGGGTTTTTTTGAAAAATCACCCATTTACATTAACCTCTCTATCTCCGTTGCCATTAAATGCAGAAGAAAAAAGTTTAAACATTATTTGTACTATTTTTTATGAGAAAGCCATTGGCGTACTCAGATTTTTTTACAAATCGCACAGTTTTTCTTATATTACATAAATATAGTTTTTTTTAAATAGAACAACCTGTATTTAGCCATCCCGTTGAATAGCAATTTTTTTACCTTTTCAGCCAAATATAATTACAGATACTTTTTATTTGTCCAAATAAAGAAAAATGCAAAAAATGTATATATTTCGGGTTGGCCATGAGATTTATTTAGTATTTGACTTTTGTTTAATATTGACAGCTAATTTATTTTTGATTGATTGAAAGCTTGTTTAACAATTATTACTGGGTTTTATAAATTTGGAAAGGTATAAAAATGATGTACGAAAACCTTGACAAAGTTCAAATGTTGGAGTGTTATATTGAAAGTAAGAAAAATAGTTACGCAGCTTTAAACTTATATTTAGAGAGATATCCATAGCGTCATCAGCCATAAAAAAGAACTTTTAAACGACACTATGTTAACATGTGAGTTTGTTTTTTTTTTTCAAAAACGTAGAAACATATACAGAATAGAGAAAATGATTAAATCAATACTTTAGCTTTTGTTGTCACAAATCCCAATATATCCAGCAGAGAAACTCAAAGGGCGATAGGAATTGGTAAATTCAAATCAATGAGATTTTAAAAAAACGCAAGTTTCGACCAAATACTAGGTATAAGAAAAGTCTATCACTTGCATCCAGGCATTTTTTGCCAGTGGCATTTGCAGCAAACTCATGTAAATCCCAATTTTTTTCAAAATGTTATTTGCACCGACGAAGATTTTATAAGCAGCAAAAGGTATATTCAACCGGCATAATGTGCATTATTGGTCAGATGTGAATCCTCACCCAACTGTGGCCAGGTTTTAACAAGGGCGGTTTGGTTTTCATGTATGGGTAGCTCTCTTTCACAATAAAGTGCTAGCTTACGAAATCATGAAAACCTCAACGCTGAGATAGTCGAGAAAATAAAGCACTAAAAACGGCCTTACCTCCGAAATCTGTGCAGTAAGATGGATCGTGAAGCATTTTTTTGCATTCGATTCGTTAGACAGTCCAGAAAGTTTACGACCCTATGTGATCAATGAGAAATGAAAATTGCATCGGTGCATAAGAAAAATCCATTTTTAAAATTGCATCTCGAAGAGTTAAAATATGAATTCAATTTTACTACTCGGGGGTTTTTGGGGCCGCTGAATACGAATATCATGACGGTAATGGTCTCCGAGGTACCTAGTGCCCAGGGTAGCCGGTTTCCACGTCGTCTCCTGGAATTTTGTGGAAATTCGTTATAAACTTAGCCGAAACTCATTACCTCGGGGTTTTTGGGGTCGCTCAACAGAATATCACAACGGTAATGGTCTCCGAGGTACCGATGTCATCTTCATAAGCTTTATCGAATGTTTAAATAAATTATCCGAAACATTTTTTTTTAAATTTAGCGCTTTTAAAACAGTTGGTAGCATTGATGAAATTTTAGGTAAGGACTGCGACGCTGGCCGCTGCTGCCACGTTTTACTCTTACATATATCCTAATATATACTCTTACACATACTAGTATATACGGATACGTCCCAAGTTATAGCGCACACGTGAAATAAAAAAAATTAAAATTGTAAAGATATCTAAGTATAATATTGTTTTGAAAACATTTATTTTTTGTAATGAATAAATGTATTTTTATAATAAAAAATAATTAAGAATAAAATAGTTGTCACACAAACCAGCCATCCTGGGTACTAGGTAGTCATTCATAATTTTTAATTAATTTAAAAGATACTCTATCCACATGGTACTAATTAAAAGAACACGTATATGATTATACATTGTTATCCTTTTCCACTGCGTCAATCCATAGATCTATTGTAAACCTCCATGATTTTAGAGTTCCTCATGTAACTCTTATTGGGACTACAACTTTAACACAAGCTGCTTCACATAATTTCTATCTCCCAGTTATCCAAATTGTAGATGCGCAACCTCGACAGAACTTCACAATCGCATAATACTGTCATCCCTCACATTAAAATTTCCCAAATTTGTGATATCCAATTTAGTAGTTTTACAGTTATCCTCATTGATCTGCGGCTTTGGTTATTCCGCAAAATTTTTTGATTTTCCTTTGACGTGTCTTTTTACCATTACTTCAGCCTGCTCTGGCTAATTATTGACATTCTAGATGCCCCGATTTTCCTCGTATACAGGTACACAAATTAGGACTGCATTGTTTTGACTTCCTATCTTTAACAAAACATTAAATAACTACATACCAGCCTGAATTTGATTGAATATAAGTTTATTGCATTTATCTCAGCCTAACTGCCAGAAAAAGTAACAATTTGTTGGTTCATTTATGAACGTATGTCCTGCTTACTCTGGCAAGCTTAAGTCACATCATTTTGACTTCTTAAACTAAAACATAAATAATCCATGCCAGCCTAAACATCTCATGGAGTTGACTTGGTGAGCTTTAGCATTTCGTGACTGTGGAATTAGAAAAAATTCATTGTTTTGTTATGTTTCTCCTTAGACTACTCTATGGTCATTCCTACTGTCCTTTCCTTAACCCTATATAATACTCAGTTCCTACTTCTTTGAACTACTACTCCGTCTTTGAACTGCCTTTATAGAAGACTCGATTGGCTTTCGCAAGATGTTCCTTCTCCAAGTCCATCTTTTCTGATATTTATATTTTAAAATTATTTTGAAGGGCTAAATAGTCAGTCTTTAGAATCGAATAAATCCCGTGATACTCAAACTGACATGTGAATCAATTAATTTTGCAAACTTTCAAACCTGATATATTGTATTTACTGTTGTAACGACACTTTTTGGCAAAGACCAAATAAATTAATTAACATATTTATATAAAAACTATAACTCTCTAACGCGATGTATTAAAAAGAGGGTGCCTATGTTATATATGCATGCTTTTTAGCAGACATATAAAACTAAGAAAATAAGTCGATTATCCCGCAAAATTTCTCGATGCAAGCCCCATTCCTGGAAAATGGGGTAATGGAACTTGTGCGATTCCATTCAAAAGCAGACATTTAGTTCTCCGGACACGTCTCCCAAACATAAAACACAGCGGCAGCATTGAAGTGCAGTTTGCCGTGCTGGAAACTTTGCCAGTTCCTCGAACATGTCGATCGTATTACTTTGAAACATTAAAAGCTGCTAGTTAGTTGGATAACTCTAATTAACACTTAATGTAATAATTCAAACTTATCGGAACTTCGTGACAAGATCGATGATCGGCCTTATGTCTGTCTGGAAAGGGGCAACAGTAATTATCCAGATGACTTTTGATAGCGAAAGTTCCAGGAGGTCGCAGGAAGAACTACTGACATAATAGAGCTTATTTTTCTCCAAATGCATGTGATGGGAAATGTGCAAAAAATTTAGGACACGATCAAAGTATTCACGCAATAGCGGTACTGTAATGCCCACCAAAATAAAAAAAACTGTTGATATTAAATATTATGTAGACCTACTACAAATATTCAAGACCATATCATTCCTCAACTAACTTTCTTCTAATTAGGCCTTACACCTTTCATAGTAACTGCTTCACATAGCTTCTGGCTTTACTGTTTCAAACAGTAGAAGGCACAGTTATGTCTAGTCCTTCACATTCCCATGAAACATGGTTTTCGATCTTCTCTCCTTGGCAAAATCTGCGAAAACTGTTTTCTATCAGACCATAATTCATATGTCCTTGAATCTAACTTCTGTTACCAGTCCAACTATTATCCATTTTCAAATTCGACTTCAGTTCGGTACGTTTGCTGCAACTCTTTCAATAGTACTTAAAACCCTTCAGGCTTGCCTCTGCCCAGGGTTTTTTTTGTTAGCAATGGCCATCATTCCTTCATCGAAAATGGTGGTGCCCATTTCTAGACACTTTCCTTAAAGGTGTAACTTTCGACAGACTCTCGGGAGAGCACGTAAGCTTGGAGCAACTATTTCTGTGTATCGCATGGGACCGCCTTCCCTGCATTGTTAGATATTCAAGCGTATTTTAATAAATGCTTTGAAATCTAATCTGCTAATTTTTAAAAATACAGAATTAACATAAAAAACATAAACATAAAACACACCACAGAAATGAGACAACCCCCAAATCCAAAAGCCAAAGGCTTGTGCGGAAGGGGGCTACACTTGAAAAAACGCGGACAAACACCCATTATCCATCGACATTGCCAGTGCCGACACCGGTGATCGAACCCGGACCAGAGTAGGAAGCCTAGCCGAGAAATGCTTGCCACCGCACTCTCGATCGACTGCGCTACCGCGGCGATCTAAATTGAATTGATTCTAAATATTAAAAAAATGCATTGCCAAAGATTAAAAGCCGTTACTAGAGCCCTGAAAGTATAAAATTAATCTCAAGGTATTATAGAAAAATATGATTTCTGACATCAATGACGATTCAGATGTACCACAAACCGGACCCTAGATATTCCAGATTATACCTAAAAAATTTGCGATATTTCTGACAGCTTACAAATAAAATATCACTTTTAAGCATGATTGCTAGATACGTACTTATTTACATTAGGTTAGCACGTCTCGTAGAACGATAGACCTTAAGAGGTATCTACTACAATCTTGCCATCAAATCAATTTCTATTCTGTTCCAGACGCCCAGGCAACGATCTCCGGCCCGCCCGAGGTGTACGTGAAGAAGGGCAGCACCATCTCCCTCACGTGTACCGTAAACGTCCACTCGACGCCGCCCTCGTCCGTGCTGTGGTATCACGGCCATTCCGTCGTGGACTTCGACTCGCCCAGGGGCGGCATCAGCCTAGAGACCGAGAAGACGGAAGCCGGCACCACCAGCAAACTTCTGGTCACTAAGGCTCTGCTGTCTGACACCGGAAACTACACTTGCATGCCGTCCAACGCCAGCCCCGCGTCTACCGTTGTACACGTGCTGAATGGTAAGCAGAGTTAATTCTTGTTTAGGTCAAGTTTCAGGCGTACGCTGACGGTCAGTGCAATGATGATCAGCGCAATGACGGTCAGCGCGCTGACGGTCAATGTTTCATACGAGCTGCTGATGAGTAATAGTAAAATGAGGACGTATTTATAACTATTTCCATATTTATTCCTACAATATACAGGGTGTTAGAAGTTTTACTGTCTTAATTTTAACAGACGATAGAATACATTAAAATAAACAGAAAAACCAAACTCGACCATTTTCGAGAAAAAAATTGTCAAATGTACAAAAGTTCGATTAATTAAGGAATATTGATATAACTGCGTGCATAGAATATCATAAAATACAATGTTTTTCACTTTTTTGCTTCTACTTTATGCTTATTTCTAAAAAATAATTAGTGTTGTAATAAATTTATAATTCGATAAATTCATATCGAGCAATGTGACAACGGCGCGGCGGATAACACGAGGTAGTAAGCTGTCCAGCAGTATGCAATTCAGTTGGTATCTGGAATTGGACCGTGTAGTGTTTTTGCGTGCCACTATTTCCTTTTCTTGAGGTGTTTTCCAGCGATTGCGCGAAAATTGGAGACAAAGGTGTCGTGCGTGTATCGAAAATGGTGATGGATATTTTGAGCATATGTCGTAGTTTGTTTTGTACTTGTGCGTTTAAAAACTGAAATTTGCTTTTTGGTAAGCACCTACATTATTTCTAATACGTATGATTATTCGGATGACGTGAATCTTTGGGTACTTTAATTATATATTTTTCAAATTCATAATTCGATTAAAAGTCAAGTTTCTGTTTTAAGAGTTTTAATTACTAAAATTCGAGCTAAAATTTAAGCACAAAACTATCTTCGTACTACAAAATCAATACATTTTATTTTATTTATTTAAAAACTGGAAAACAATCGTCTTGAAATTTACTAAATGTTTCACAATAATAGTTGTTTACAATTTTTCCGTAGGACAAGTTGTAGTATAACAACCCCAGGTTCGATCGAAAAAATAAACGAATATAAACGTAGTTGTGGCCAAAAACATGTGATCGTCATAAGGAATACCAACGTTGTATGTATCTATTTTTTTAATTGACCGAAAGGCGCTGGCTACTAACTTTTTTAGAGGGGATGTATGGTTTTATTTTATAAAACATAGACAGCGTAAATACATGTAGCTTTATTATTTATGTACAACAATCTTCAAATTAAACATGTGACAAATAGAAAGAACAACAAAAACATTAACAACCATTTAACATAGAATGAGAGTGCCAGGCTCACCTAGAGCTCTTGTAGGGAAAGAACATGGCAGAGAAACCCATGATCGTTGCTCTTACCACCCAAATATAAATACAAAACAACCGCTAACCAAAGGCATACATTAAGAACCTTTGCTAATGATAATTAAAACTGTACTTATTTAATTTCTCACTAAATATCATCTCACTCAAATTAGACATACACACTTCCAAGTAAAACTGAAGAGGTTAGAATAACAATAATAA